CTATCTCCATTTTACAGAGGAGGGAATTGAAACTCAGAATGGTTAAGTAGCCTGTCCAATACAAAAGCTAGTGAGAGGTGGGCCCCAAAATAGACAAAGTTCTGCCTGAACCAGAAGATGGTATATTCTGCTGTCTCCAAAATCATATATGAAATTTTACACAGTAGAGGAGCAGCTTATTGATGTAATTTCTATCATACTACAGTGACCTAAAAGAGATTAGGAATTTCATGTAATACTCAGCTTAACTTTTAGCAATAAGTTCTCATTCTAGGTAGCTTTTTCCTACATTACTACAAATTATAACTAATCAAGTTAAGTCACTCTTTTCCCTTTCCTCTCATGGATGAAGAGCAGGCCATTAGAGGTGGTAGCTGTTTGAATGTCCCTGTGAGTTAGTCGATACACATTTATTATTCTTCTGTCTGGCACAAAAGTGGGCCAAACTAATCCCTGTCTTAGGAGATTTCACCCTATCTGAGGAAATAAGTGATAAAAAGGCAAATTAGAAGGCAGGATAAAAAAAAAGCAATTGTGCTAAATGTAACTCATAGATAGCAATGGTTAGCATGGTCATATCTACAGAGATAACAAGCATCAAGGGAAGGAAAACTCCACTGGGAAATGTGGTCAGGGTGGCTTCTTAGAGGAGGTGTAACTTTTTTTTTCAAAGATTTTTATCTATTTATGCATACAAGAACTGGGGCACAGGCCAGAGTTGGGGGTTGGGCGGTGAGAGGATTCACCAGAGACAGAGTGAGGAGCACAACAGGCAGACTGGCCAAAACATACTGCTGAGGAGAGCAGCGGGGGAGCCAGAAGAGGTCTGCTGCACCACATGGGAAGCTCCCTGGCTGGGGATCAAACTCGCGCTGCAGTGGCTGCAGACAGCTTCATAGGTTTTGTCTCAACCCCTTGCGCCACCAGGAAGGCCCAGAAGGTGCAACTTAAGCTGGAAATTTAAAGGATAAAAATGATAATGATGGTCTCCACATAGGCTTATAAACATAGAGCCAGAGGAAGGTCATACATGATGTCAAATTTTTATTTTGTAAACAAGACAGACAACTAAAGTGGTTAGGGGTAAGAGAAGAGATCAGGAAGGGGGAGTGTTGAAGTGGCCACTTTATTTTTATTTATTTATTTTCAAAGATTTGTTTATTTATGCATACAAAAGCTGGGGTGCAGGCCAAAGATGCAGGGGGTGAGGAGATACACCAGAGACCAATTGGGGCACAGAACAGGCAGATCTACTGAAATATACTGCTGGGGGGAGCAGTAGGTAGGACAGAAGATGTCTCCTGCACCAGGTGGGTCACCTCCCTGGCTGGGGATTGAACTTGTGTTGCCGTGGCTGCAGATAGCTTCATAGTGCTGCCTCTTAACTGCTTGCACAACCAGGGAGGCCCCTGAACTGGCCACTTTAACTGCTAAGTAAACTTCTGTTGCTTTAAGGATTAGGTGAGAGATACCATTGGAAATTTGGGGTCAAAATGCTTTGATGGAAATGATGTTTTAACTCAGTCTGCAGTAGTGAAGATGAGGTAAATGGAAGAAAGTTGAAAAATGAGCAAGGAAATTGTAGTAATGACTCATGAGTGTTACTGTCATTGTACTGGAAGAATAGACACAGGTCAGGTGTGGGGGATATTTGAAAGGAAGCATTCACAGAATTTAATGACAGATTAGCTGCAGGTCAAAGTGAGGGGAATATTAGAGAGGGGGGAAAAAGCTAATGGACTAATTAACTCTCCTTTCGACATATTGAGGTAGAATTAAAAGTATTTTAAATAAGAACCAAATTTCAGAACAAAATTTTTCTATAAAACATCTTCTTTCCAATACCCCCCAAAGATCTAATCTAAAGATAAATTGACCATCTAACTATAGGCTGTATTCATACATGAGCCTCTTTTTCCTCAAAGTCAATAATGATGATAAAAATATTGAAGTATTTACAGTCAACTCCTTAAAAATGTTAATCCCCTTAAATTTGCTCCATGCCCTCCACACAAAAACATTGCACCAAGAAAAAAGAACCAGATGTCCCAATTTGACCCATTGGAAGATGTCATCCACACAGCAATGGTTGGGGAAATCTCAATAGGCAGTGTTAAAATCTTGCTTTATGGATTTTTAAAAACCTATTTAAAATCTAAAACACAAAAGAACCAAGCCCCTATGCATCCCCATATGGACATATAATTAAGAAAGGAAATGCATAGTGTCACATTTGCCACTAACCTCTGCTATACAATAGAAATGGCCAGAAAAATCAGCCTGAAACCACATAAATTTCCTTAGGAGGAAACAGAGTAGAATCCTTTTAGTTCTTGGGTGAAGGTTCCCACTCATAATCTGCCATGAGCTCAGTGAATAGCTAGATAAATGTATTTCATTTTTTACTCCACCATAAAAATGGATCTGGTACCTTTCATAAATCAAGCTTTCAGAGGGCTTTTCTCCTCTAAGATTCCTCACCTTCCCATATGCCTAGATAACAGGCAGGATGCATCGACACTGCAAATTGAGATCTCCCCACCACTGTTATTTTTCACTTCCCTGGAAGGGATCCCCCGTGTGCTCAAACACTTTTACAGCTGTTAGAATGGTGATGGGAACTTCATGTGTGTTACCAGCACACTGCAGTCAAGAAGAAACCAAATGTCAAACTGAGGTATGTAGAAGTCACCATAAATATTGTCTCTGAATGCTTACCATCTGGAAGAGTAGATTTAGATTTTGACAAAAATCTAGGATTATCCTGTGGACACTGTCTTTTAGATAAACCCTTTTACTTTTGCTAAGGAACCTCATATTATCAATACTTTAGCCTTATTAGGGGGGAAAATACACAACTTTGACCTCTCGAGGTGTGAATTTATTATTTCTCAACACTTCCTATCTTGTTTCCATCCTGCCTAATTCTGTGTACAATTGCCATTTTGGAGTGGGGGTTGGGCAGGGAGGAAATTCTCCCCTATTGTCAAAATCCTAGGCAAGCAGCCGGTGGCCAGTCTGCAGCATTAGTGACCTATGCTGGTGGTACTCCCGAGGCTGCAACTTGTCTTTGTTAGATGCCATCACGCTACATCTCATGGGGGAAAGCTGCTCTTGGAGGAGGAACTTTACTTTCCCCAGAACTATTTTGAGCTGATGAAAATTGGTCTTTGGCATAGTACCCGCTTACGCTATGCCTTTGGTTCTAAACCTGATACAACTCAAGACAGTGGCTTGTCATTGTGTCTTCATTTTTTTAAACCTCAGTTCTACTGTAAAGCCTAAATGGCATGACTGGAATTCCAAAAGATTTCAGCTCATGAACTTAGTCCTATTTTGGTTATGTAATATTGGGGACTGCATAACACTCAGTTGTAATAACTGCCTGGTCATTTATCTGGATCTTCTCTCTTTGAAAAATGTTTTTAAGATGAGAACCAGAGACCACTCTGAATAACAGAAACACAAAACGAAAATACTGCTTAAGTCTGAACTTTGAAAAAAAAAAAAAAGGATTTTAGAAAATCAACTACCTGGTTGCAAAAAAAAAAAAAAAAAAACAACCACCATATAATGCAACTTGAAACATAATTTTACAGGCATCTTTATGCAGTTGAATGCAAAAATCACAAAGGACTGACTAGCTATAAATCCTGTTATTCAACCAACTGAAGAGCTCTTATTTCAGAATAGCTTGCTTATATACAGTATTATTCATAGAATCTCTCACCTGCAAAGGGTGAGGCAGTGTTGAGTTTCGCTACCAAACATGAAATGTCCAATCTGAGCAAGAATACTTGAGCACTATAAGTATATGGATATTGATGGAGGGGAGCAAATCTGTTAGGTGCAAAAGAAATAATTCAATGATTCACTTAGCTTGATCAAAAATAGAGAAATGAAACCTTTAATTTTTGATCCCTGTAAAAATAGGACAGCCATGTGAAAGACTTTTTACAGCACCAATTAAACATAATATATAAACTCCATTGTTACATTCAGTTCAATATATTTCAGGGGGTGTTGTTGGCAGAGAAGTTACATTAAAGGCTACTCACATCTATGATGACAACTCATTTTATATTGCTCAGGCACCGGATGACCATTAATTTCCAATGACTAATTTATAATGAAAGCCTTTTTTAATGTTTGTTTATAACCCAGCCAGAAAATCTATTTACATTTAATTAACACTTCAGATAGCCTGTTTAAAACCTATAAAAGTAGTGATTTTAATGATCCATTACAGAGATGCTACTTTAGTTTTCAATGACTTGTAAAACTTTCACAAACAGATCTGCAAATGAATTACCTCCATCTGCTCCCCTGCAGCTGCAAGAGAGCTGTGTTAAAGAGCATTTTCCTACTTCCTCCTTTTCTGCTTTTCTTCTAGCGCTAAGTATTTTTGTTTTAAAAGCCCATCTATTAGCTGCTCAGAGGGCAGCCTTTACTTGCAAGGACATTGCAAACTTTAGTGTCAATCTCCAAAATTTTTAACAAACACTTTGGTTCATCGTAAATCAGGCTTAATCTACATTGAGAAAGTCAGTTAAGAGCATTGCTGGCTCTACCAACAACTCTCCTATAGGCTCCTTTAAAAAATCTTTATAAGTCAAGTAGGTTAAATGCAATGGTTTGAAACTGCATTTTATTTTTGGAAGCCAAAAGAAATGTTTTCTTGGCCTTTTTCATCCTTTATGAAGACTTCATAGCTCCTGTTTTGAGCATGTAATCAGGATATTAGAGGCTACAAGCACAGCTCCAAAAGACATTTTCTTAGCTACACCTTCAAGAGCAAGGCAGGAGGAGTGTTAGTTCTATAAAGACAGCCAAGCACCGCGCTGTGCTCCCTGTTATCTGTCAGTCGTACAATAGCAGCATTGATAGGACAGCAACAACTGGCTTTGACAAGTGTGCTGTGCTAGCATTCCATTCAAAACTATGCTGAGAGAGAGGGAGAGAGAAAGAGAGGGAGAGGCATTCAATGTCTTTTACTTTACCTGAAAAAACTGCTTTTCTTGTGGCTGCTGAAAAAGAATTCTGCCTCCTCTTCCAAAAGCAAAGTAGTTTTCTTGCCTGCAACTCTCCCTTGCCGAAGACCACACAGCTCCAGCAAGGCAGCCTTCCTGCTCCTAATCCCCACTCGAATGTGATGACACACACTAACCCCAACCATCTGGTGAAACACGTCCTCAAGCACTCAGCACAGTGGTGTGTCAAGACGGGCTGCCCAATCCAATTGCTGGGCTGGGTGACTTTTCCCGACTAGAGGCTGAGGGCAGGACTGAAATTGGAGGTCTGAGAACTCCCAGTCAAGTAACCTGAGATTTTCAGAGAGAAAGGGCAGCTATAAAAAGAGAAGTGGGAGGTGCTAAAGAGAAGGTGGAGGGAATGAATTATTCTGGTGGCCAGTTGTGCGTTACTTCTCACAACTCCTTCTGCTCCCCGGGGACGACTGGGAATCTCTGTAGGATGCATAGAAAATTAAAAATCTTTTCCTGGCCGCTAGGGAAGGCAACCTTCTCAGCGCGGCACCGCCTGCCCCCGCAGAGAGATAAAGGCTCTATCTTGGTGCAAGGATAAAGTGTTAACGCAGAGTAGTTTGCACGGAAATGTGACATCTACATTTTGAAATCTATAAACTCCTACCTCCTTTTGATTAGATGGTGGCTGCCTCCAACATTCCTGGGAGGAAGAGGGTGGGGGTGCCGCTAAGAGCGAACTTCTCTATTCCCACATACAGCTCTTCACTGTTTGCCACGGGCTGAACTTCAGAAATAGTCAATGAAAATCATTTTCATTTCTACTCATGTAAAGTAGCACACGCTCACATAGATAAAGGTGGCTTTTTTAATCACTTGCTACTTTCACAGACATCTCTTTGTAAAAGCACTCGGTACCAGAGGACTGCACTCTGTCATTGATTATTTTTATTGGCTCCTAGTTAATTGCACTTATAATGTCCATATAGCTCAAACAGCTCATTAACAATTTTGCTTGGAAACGGTTTCAATTTTTGGTCATTTCAATACCTCCTCCTTATATGCTTTTTTTTTTTTTAAAGTTCTATGAACTATTTTACAGAACTAATTACTTTGATAGCAGTCTGAACCAGAAAATAGCTTTACTGTTACAATACTTTAAGGAGATATCTGGAAATAAATTAATTGCTACAAATCTCACTGTTTTAAAAATTCCATCAGACTTCTAAGGAATTCTGATAATATGAAAGGAAAAGAGGAATTTGAAAGATAATCAAGCCCTTAATATTTTCTGTGGGACCCAACAATTAAAATTCTGCGTCTTTTGAATATCTTTGAACTGGGAGAGGAATAGTTAGGGAAAAAACAAAAAAAACTTAAAATTTACCTAAAGCATTTATATCCGGGCTATCAATAGATATGATAGATACCCAATAAATGCAGTACTAGTATTACAACAAGATTTATTTTAATATCTGGCAAAATTGACTAGCTTGTCTTTTTAATGATGTTAATTTTTCTAACTTGAATTTTTGTGTGATATTAAGACACTTAAAAATTATCCCTGGTGCAATTTTCTGAAGCACAGAATTAGAGAACTGTAATTTTCAGATTGAATTTTTCCCATAACTGGATATAAGGAAAGAGGGGAAAATATTTAGAGGTTGGCATCCCGATTCATATGCTCATCCTGAGATTGTGAGGTGTGCATTTCACAATACATAGTGTATTCACTAGACCATTAGTCCTGATGAGCTAATCCAGATACATAATCAACATAGAGACATTCAACAATGGCAAATAGCACCACAGGGCTAAACTTCCCTCCGGCATCATAAAGTTTTTAATAGTGCCAATTATTGCAAGGCAATTTTTTTCATTAATTTTTTTTTTGGTTAATCCAGCCAGACTCATGTCTAGAAATCTGGATTACCTCAACCCCATAGATTTTGAAGACCCTGGAGACATTATTAAGGTAGTTTGAATTCTCTTAAACTGTAAATTGAGTTACAAAAGTAAAACCTGAGAAACTTTAAAGGTGTTGAATCATGTTTTATCAACCCTGCGCTTGTAACACTCCTTCTCCAAGACATTTCTCAAATGCTCCTGCCTCTGCCTCAGGTTATGATGAAAGTGCTTTTAACACAAACATTTTTATCCCATTCTTAATTGTAAATCTTTGTATTAAATCTCAGTCATTGAAGTTATTGATAACTTCAGCTATTTACACGACTTAACACTTGCGTCAAAATTAAAAGTACAAGTAGAGCCGTTGATAGTGCCCTTTTGCTGGGATCTTACTTTGTGCAGTGTCTGTAAACATCACCTTTCAAAAGTGTCATGAATGAGGCCACAGTGACACATTTTTTGGTTGTTGATGTTCTAAAATGCTTTTGTTAGGGAAAAATCAACTCAAACAAAAACCTGAAGCTGGTGCTGCAGGATAAGGTCCCAGCTCTCCTCCCTGGAGCCGGCTCCAGGGCTCCAGTGTCAGTTTAAAAGTTAAGAATTTTCCATTACCTCCTTTCCGTTCTCCTTGCCATCTGCAAACAGTTTATTTTTTAAGAAAAAAAAAAGTGAAATTGATTCTGTCTTGAAAGATCTTAACCTAAAATACTGCACATTCGAAAAGATGATATTCAGCATTTGAACGTAATGTTGATCGGGGTGAGGTTTGCGCAGAGGAAAGAGTTTCATCACAGAAATTAAGTACGGACACTTCTCAAACGAAAAGATTAATTGTAGGTAACAGTGATATTGAAAAATAGTCCGTCCTATTCTGTTCCCACAGTTAAAATGTCCCTTTACTTATTAGCTCCAATTAGTTTCCATGGTAACCGACCAGCCCTTGTAAACCCTCACTCTTGAGCTTCACTCATCTTTGTCTAGACTGAGCTCACCACCCTTCTTCCTCCACAGATGGCAGTTAGCTGGGTCTATATCTATATCCATATCTTTCATGCACACATAACCAGCACGTAAGTGCCACGTCCACTTTATTACTAGCACAATAGTGGCCAAGGGAGAATGCAAGTGGCATTTAATCCCAGAGTTGCAACGCGTGCATCTGCTGCCACACTAATTTCCCCCCCCCCCCCCCCCGTTGGTTATTGTTTCTTCCAGTCTTGTTCTATTATCAGCTGTTTGCTCCTCGTAATTTCTTTTCAGGGAAGCCAATACAGTATAATAAAAACCTCATTAAACAGAAACACCTATCAGTCTTGGAGAAAGCCCTAGACTACTCCTTTTTGTTTAAAGAATCATTAAACTGTAAAAGAAAAACCACTTGTTTTTCATGCTTGGAAAAAAGAGAACAAAGTCAGCATAACAGTTGACCAAACTAGGGGGCTAATATGAAGATTTAATGCACTTAAGACACCATGGTTCTTTCCCCCTGTGCTGCCAGTTGGACAAACATCCCAACTTAAGCTCCACTGTGAACAAATGATCAGTGAGGCTGAGAGCAGAGCTCCAGGCACTGGGTGGGGAGGGAGGCACCATAGCACCCCGCTGGGCTGTCACAGTGACTGCCCTGAGGGGCTGTGGCCCTGCTGGTGTTGTTGGAGTCCCAGGAAGTCACCATGACCCCAGAAGAACCCAGTGGAGAGTGGGGTGGGCCTTTAGCAAATACTTGACATTGTGAGACCTCAGCAAGTCATACTACTACAGGGCAGGGAGACAGGTACCCCAGAACCCCCAAACCTGCCTGCTCTAAATAGGTTCTGCCATCAACATAAAACATGTAAGACTTTAATGGAAAGGAACTTTAATGCAATTAGTAAACAATACAGGAAAGACAAAGAATATAGTTTCTAAATCAAGCACCCAAAGTTACCCACCCCCTCATGGGTAAAAGTCCACCCAAACAGGATTGGCCCAGAGCAAGGCCCAAAAGCCTGTCTCTTCACCAGCTTTTTCACTTTTCTTTAGCTCCACCCTCCTTTGGGTGGGGCAGGGAAACTGGAACTTACCCTTTTCTTGGGGACCACCCTGTTACAGTACCCTCATAATTTGTGTTGATTTTCCTTCTCTGGGCACAACTCAGTTTTCATTCAGTGTTATTATTTTATTTATTTATTTTGTGGGACCCTCGCCGGCGGCCGGGGAACGAACTGGCGCTGCAGAGGCTGCGGGCAGCTTCTCAGCCCAGCACTCAACCGCTGCACCACCAGGGGAGGCCCTCATTCAGTGTTATTTTTGAGGTAAACCATCCCTTACAAGAGAAGCGATGGCCATGATTAGCCTGGGTATGTCAAAATGTAGCATTAGATTTCTCCTTTTCCTATTAGCTCTGCTCCTACCAGTTTCCAACACCTGCCTTGAGGTACAAATGATTGAGAATATGATTCCCCTGATCTGGTGAAATGCTTTATTCTTAAAAATAAGGCATTTATTTTGGATTTTGAGGTCCTCTGTGAGTTGGAGGAGAAAGAGGTCTGATTATTGATGTTTATCTGATAGGTTATGGAAATCTGTGAAGCTTCTTATACACGTGAATTTTTTGATGATAACATTCCCTTAGACTTTTTCCTTTGTGACAAAAACATCCCCTTAGGCTTTTTCCTAAATGACAAGTGTCACTTAAAGCCCCACAGTGTTAGAAATACATATAATTATTAGTCCTTTGGTGTTTCTATCATACAAACTGTTGAAGGGCAAAGGAAATCACCCTATACCCCTCCGGCTTCTTCTCAGGCTAGATAAGTAATTGAAATAGCAACAAATGGGTTAGCAAAAGAAAGTCAATTGCATAATATCCATATAGACAATTTACATGGTTGTAAGTTCTAAGGAATCATGGAGCGGACTGGGTATATTTGTCCCGCATTTAGAGACCTGAGGGACAGCAGGGGTGTGGAGGACTACTTCACATGTCAGACCAGAAAAGGTTACTTTATCCTTATTTTGTGAGTCAGGATGAGATTCTTAAACATGTTCATTGATAAACCTCCAACTGAATGAGACCCTCCCCAAACTACATTTTCTAGCAGTGATTGCTTCTCCAATTAGGAAAAGGGCAGACACTTAGATATGATGATCTCTCCTTTGATTAGGGAAGGGTGAAGAATTTGGCAAGGGCAGAAGCTTCTCCTCAGCCTCAAGGGATTTCACTGCTCTGTATTCAAAATACTCTGCATGCCAGAGCAGGGCATCTTGAGGAGATCAGTTCTGAGAATCTCAGGGTGGTCTGATTTGGGCACCTTCAGATGTGTCTGTACATGCACAATAAGTCTTGCAATTTGGGTCATTCTTACACTTTGAAATTACTCAGAACTTCATTCATTCATTTATTCTTCTTCACATTCACATTGAACCAAAGCTGCCTGAGAAAGAGAGGAAATTATTGCTTGCTAAACAAAGTCAGATGCTATGCAATAGGGAGCAGGCTTGCTCCTGTTTCCAATGATTGCACAGCTGTTTGGGGGGTTACACTGGAGCCAGTGGGCCTTTCATACCAGACAAGT